AAAACAATCTTATCTTTATATATGTTTTTTTAAAGAAAAAATGAGTAAAAATGTCCATTTCACTCGCATGTCAATAAGTTAGATTTGACAATTACCAATTAAAAGTAAATTTATATATCATTTTTCTTAAAATAATTAGATAGAATTTGTAATTGTTCCAAACAATGTGATCCGGCTTCATCCACGCCTGAAAGTGGAGAACTATGAAGTAATGACAAGAAGTTATGAATAGTGTACTAACTGATTTTGATGCAAAATGCAAAGGGTTATGGATTGACTGAATCAACTGGGACAGCGTTCCAAGCAGTGACTCCAGAGGAATGTGAACGTTGGGGCTCAGTGGGGAGGCTTCTAGGAAACTGTCAAGCCAAGATTGTTGACCCCCACACTGGAATTGCTTTGCCTCCATGCAACCGAGGGGAGCTTTGGATCAGAGGACCCATGGTTATGAAAGGTGACGACCCCACATTTGGGCCTAATTTAACATTTTCCGCCTTCTAATATTCCCTTATCAAATAAGATGAATCAAATAAAAGCTAAATCAAATATAAATCCTAATCCAAACGCAGCCTTACAGTCATTAAATTTGCCTTGAGATTTTTATATAATTCAATTCTTGGCTATATTTGGAAGCCATGAGTTGAAATATTAATAAACAAATACTATTGACATTATAATTGTAGCTTATGTTGGTAATAAGGAGGCAACATCCGCAACATTACTGGCAGATGGGTGGTCAAGAACGGGTGATCTTTGTTATATTGACAATGAAGGGTTTCTTTTTATTGTTGATAGGTTGAAGGAACTAATTAAATACAAGGGTTACCAAGAATATCTCTCTCTTAATTCATTTATTTATTTCAGTTGCTAATTAAAACTGGATACAAGTACATTTTTCAAGTGCTAAATTATTGTGCAGGTTCCTCCAGCTGAACTAGAACAACTGCTTCAATCCCACCCTGAGATAGTAGATGCTGCAGTTGTACCGTAAGCCTCGTATTACTTGTTCACGTATATCACGCCTTTTTAATTGGAAAATGAATATTTTTTTTACAATTTTATATTTCATATCAATCATCATAAAAAAATAATAAAATCTATCATTTTTCATCGTAAGTATTTATGTCACGTGATATAAAATAGTGACAAAAATTTGAGTGATATATAACATTTTTCTATTTTAGCAGGTGAGAGGGTGGTCATTTAAATCCCCTTAGGAAGAAAAAAAAAAATTTGCGCTGAGCTTAATAGGAAACAAAATGATTGATCTTTGAAATTTGCAGTGAGCTTCAAAATGGGTCTCCACTTTTGATAGTTTAGTCAAGACAATCTCAAGTGTTTTGACATGAGTGTTGAGTCTCTACACTTGTCATTACCTGTTTGAAATAAGAATATAAAGCCATTGCAGAATTCAAAACAATACAAAGGACTTGTTTGTTGCTGTTTTTGCATAGTTTCTAACTTTTGGAAGTTGAATCATAAAATTCTACACAGATACCCTGATGAAGAAGTTGGTCAAGTACCCATGGCTTTTGTGGTAAGGCATCCCCAAAGCAACCTCAATGAAGCACAGGTCATGGATTTTGTTGCTAAGCAGGTGCCTCTCTCTCTCTCTCTCTCTCTTCCATATTTGTTCTATGAGCAATGTTTTATATACAAACAAAAAAATATATATTAAAAAAAAAACTTGTACAAAATGATATGATGCCACAGTGAGCTTACTACTTTAAACTTATTAATTATAAAAATACTAGAGTCATATCATTCTAGTGATAAATTCCAATAAAAAAATATATATATTTCTTTTTCCACTTTTTAACATCAGCAATAAGTGATTATCGAATACAGACTTTTAAAATTAAGAGAATCAAACTTTTCATGAAATTCAAACTTATAACTTACGTTTCATGAAGCACACTTGTCACGATTCAATAAACCACTTGACTAACCCCTTATGCATGATTTTATCAGCTACTGATTCACAAAGCCAAAGATTGATCTTAAAATGTATGCATATTTGGTTCAACCTTTGACTAATCCGATTGATAAATTGTCAAAATGGCATACATTAGGTCTGATACTCTTTTCTTCATAATAATTGCAGGTTGCACCCTACAAGAAAATTAGGCGTGTAGCATTTGTTAATTCAATACCCAAAAGCCCAGCTGGAAAAATACTGAGAAAAGAGCTGAGAAAAATTACTATCCCGCCGACTTTTTCTAAGCTGTGATCTTCAACTTTTGTTTGTGTTTGTATTTTTTTTTTAAAAACATTTTAAATCTAAAATGTACACAAAATATTTAGATCATTGACTCGATAAATAATACTTGATGCATGCAAGTACATCATGTTACGCATGTATGTAGCCGATCTCTTTTTGATTGATATATAAACAAAATGGCAAATTACAGAAATGGTCCTTATAGTTTACCCGTGGTTTCATTTTGGTTTCTGTACTTTTAAATGTATCAATTTTGCCCCTGCAGTTTTGTTTTTGGCTTGAAATGGTCCAATAATTAACAGTCGTTAGATTTTTTGACAGAAATTTCACACGTGCAAGGCATGCACGGGACTTGCACAGCCTCTATGTTTCATTATATTTATCAATGAACAATTTTGACTTTCTTGACTATTTTTGCAACAATTCAATTTGTTCTCTAATATCATCACTCAAATTTAACTCATTTAATAGATGTTTTACTTAATTTCATTATTTAATTATTTTTTTATTGATATTTTATTTATTTAATTTTTAAAAATAAATTTATTTAATTGTTTAAAAAATAAAATAAAATAAATTTTTATTTAATCTAGCTAAAAATAATTAAAATATTAAAAGTATGTTTAATATTGCTATTATTTAGTAAACAATTGAAAAATAGTAAAATAGTCTTTTGCACATTTATCCTTATCCAGTCCGTCCGACCAAACATTAGATTTACTAAAAATAGTCCTTTCTAGACATCTAATCCCATGAGAAAACAAACACGGGATGCACATCTAATCCAACCAAATAATCCAGAGAAATTATTAATAAAAAATAATATATTATTAAAATAGTCATTTGTAAATATATTAATAAAAAATATAAACATTTATAAATTATATTTTTAGTGTTGTTAATTTAAAATTATATATTAATAAAAAAAACATAAATTATAAATTTAATTTAATTAAAAATAATAAATTAAAAATTATGACTTTATAAATTAAAATTAAATTTATAATTTATATTTTTTATTGTTTATCCATCGTTTGATTCAAATTGTTGTTCATTTAAATTATTTTTAAATTATTAATTTAGTCCATTGTTTGCTTTAATAAATTATTTTTTATTAATAATTTAGTCCATTGAACATGCAGTTTGGCCGAACTCCATATCTCTCATGTGAGGGACTAAACAATTCTGGGAAGGGTGAGATTATTTCCATGGGATTGATACCCTATGGGACTAATATGTGAAATGTCTATTTTACCTTTATGCTATTACTTAGCAAACAATTAGAAAAGAGGGGATTAGAATCTATTGGACTTGAATCCTGAAACTCTGAATCCCTCGGACTATTTGGTTAGATTGGATGTGTATCCCGTGTTTGCTTTCTCATGGGATTAGATGTTTGGAAATGACTATTTATAGTGAATCTAATATTTGGTTGAACGGACTGGATAATGATAAATGTGCAAAAGACTATTTTACAATTTTTCAATTGTTAACTAAGTAATAGCAATATTAAACATATCTTTAGTTAGATTAAATAAAAATTTATTTTATTTTATTTTTTACACAATTAAATAAATTTATTTTTAAAAATAAAATAAATAAAATATCAATAAAAAATATATATTATTTTTTAATTAAAAATTTAAATAAATTTATTTTAAAAAATAATAATAATTAAATAATGAAATTAGATAAAACACCTATTAAATGAGTTAAATTAGAGTGATGATATTAGAGAAAAATTAAATTGTTGCAAAAATAGTCAAGAAAGTCAAAATTGTTCATTAATAAACATAATGAAATATAGAGACTGTGCAAGTCTTGTGCGTGTTTTGCACGCGTGAAATTTCCGTCCAAAAGTCTAACGACCGTTAACTATTGGATCATTTTGAGCCAAAAATTAAACTGCAATGGCAAAATTAATACATTTAGAAGTGCAAGTACCAAAATGAAACCACGGGTAAATTATAGGGATCATTTCTGTAATTTGCCCTCAACAAAAAATTTATATAAAATTTATCACAAAGGTAATGTGACAGTGATATTTTGAAAAATAAAAGTCATTTTAATGAATTTTTTATTTTAAAATAAGACAACCTAAGGAAGCCACATCGCTAAATTGAAATAGAAGCGTGTGTAAATTTTCTATTTCTTTAGCAGTACTCTTTTGATAATAATAATAATAAATAAATAAATATCTCAAATTCAATCTCTTTTTAAATTTCATGAGATTATAATAAATAATTTTTGTTAAAAATTTGATTCGTTCTTAGTTTGATAAAAAGTCGACAAAATGAGGCACGGCCAATTTTTTTTTATTATTAAATTTGAATTTAATGAAATAATTGGATATGCTATAGCATAACCAATCAAGTATCAAAAACAGGGAAACTATATACATCCTATCACAAAAATATATAAATTTATATAAAATTTCATAATATTAATCAAAAACTTTATAACATTGTCATAAATTAGCGTAACAAAATGTTTAAAAATTTATGATTTGATTATATCAATTTATGACGAAATTATACATATTATGATAGAGGGCATATAACATGCACACCATAATATTTCCCTTGTAATTCGTTAAAATTTACAATAATCCTCTATTCTCAAATAATCATGTCTTCTATCCCAATTCACTTACAACCATTGGATCATATGAAAATTTTAAAATATCCCAATTCACTTACAACCATTGGATCATATGAAAATTTTAAAATGTAAAAATCTCAAAACATATCGACTGATTGTGCCCTGAGTGGGATGGTTATAGGCCTTTGGCCCACTTATCTGCAAGCCCGTAATTCGTTATCACACACCAAACTTCATCGAAGCAGATCTCGAGAGAGAGAGGGTTGATCGGAGATTCAAAAATGGCGAACTATCACTTCGTGTACAAGGACGTGGAAGGATCTTCGACTCAATGGGACGATATTCAGAGAAAATTGGGAAACCTCCCTCCGAAGCACCATGCATTCAAGCCCCCATCTTTCACGCCCGCCGAGGACGAAGACTCTAAACACAAAGACAAAGCCTGGATCGATGATAGGACTGAAGAACAACTCGAAGATCTTGAGGACGATCCCGATCTCGACGACGATCGCTTCCTTCAGGAGTACAGGTATCATTTTCCGTCTTCTGATTCTCCTAATTATGCGCTTGGTTCCTAAGAATACGAAGGAAACCCAATTAAAAAACCCAGTTGTTTTCACTCATACAGTTTATTGGCTCAGTTAAATTGAGTTTCTTTTTGAGTTTCTTAAACTTGATAGGGCAAAGGGTTGGAGTTTTACACTGTGTTTGGATTGAGTGATTTGGAGAGAAAAGAAAAGAAATAGAGAGAAATGTATTTCTCTTCCTTATTTGGTTATCTTAAGTGGAGAGAAATGGGAAGAAATAGAGAGAAATGGAGAGAAACTCATTTCTCTCTTAACCCTTATTTTCAATCTTCCCAAAAGTGGAGAGATTGAGAGAGAAAAGAAATCACAAATGTTTATATTTTTATAATACCAATTTTACCCCTATAAAAATAAAATGATTGAAAATATAAAAAGGTTATTTTGGTAATATAACATAAAATAATTTCTTTTCTTTTCTCTTAATGAAATCTAATCAAACAAGAAGGAGAGAAATCACAATCATTTCTTTTCTTTTATTTCTTACTTATCCAAACAAAAAGGAGAGAAATTACAATCATTTCTTTTCTTTTCTTTTCTCTTATTACTTAAGTAATCATTTCTTTTCTTTTCAATCCTAAGTTACCAAACATAGCGTTAATGTATTGTTACTCAAACTGTTTACCAAGTTTTCATTTCAGATCCATTAGTTTTGTTCATGTGATGTTGTTCAGCTTCTTGTATACTTTCTGCTTGGATTGTCACAGTGACACTGAACCCTAGTAGCGTGCTGTGTACAAGCAAGGCATTGCATCTTTCAAATTAAGTCCTAAGTTGTACATGTTTATAGTCTTTGTTTTTTTCAGGTAGGGAAAAAATGATCTAGCTCAAGATTTTTTTTCCTCCAATTTTCCATTTTTCTTTCTTTTTGCTTTACAAATTCAAGATTTGAACATGGCACAAAAATAAGAAGATAGCATGTTAGAGAGAGAAAACCTTCTTGGCAATACTTTTTTCTCAATTCATGTCAATTTTTATTTTCAGAAAAATCACCATTTTAAGGTATAGATATTTCATAATCTTCTAATAATTTGATGGCAATGAAAAGTTCTCCCCTTCAAATTATTTAAAATTTGATCATACTATGTCAAAAGTTGAAAGCAATGTAAACTAACTTAGGACATAGCTATCTACATTCATGGCATCATGGCAACTCGGCCCAATTTGACTCGCTACAAAGGCAGAAGATTAAAAACCAAGCAAAATCTAGATAACATGAGAAAAATTCCAAGGCCAGGCTAGACTGACTTCCATGGCAATGTAACCCTTCTGAGTTAAAGGATAGATAAGCAAGCTTCAACTCTCAAATCTATACTCTTCATGCATTTATTTCTAATGTATCCTCTTCCTTCTTTTTGCCTTTTCTAGTGTCTGCACCACCCTGTTTTTGTAGCTCAGCCTTCTTCTGTGCTCGAATCATGGCTCGTCTCGCACGTGGATGCATTTCCCGTACTTGTCGAGGAGGCATCACATATGGTTCAATAGGCCTGTCACCGAATGGGTGCTCATTGCCAGCAAATATTCTCAGCTTTCGATCTCTATCCTGCATAATGATATAAGAACTTCCAATTAGGTCTGTTTCAGTAGCCTCCTCCCCTTGACATTCAACAAATCTTAATTTGCAGTAACCAATTGCAAAGTACCTTCACTATGCTTCACTACATATTCAGCATCCTCCCAAGATCACTAAAGTTTTAGTGTAGTCTACTATAGTGTGAACATTTTTTCTATACTGAGTTGGAAATGCATGAGATCATAATTCCTCTTATAACGCTTTTAGAAGTGAATAAAACAACAATAAATAAACAGACAAAATATGTTCTTTTTTGGCATCAAACCAATCATCACATCAAAGTGCCGCTAGTTATATACTAATTCAAATGTGTCACACATTTCAGGTTTGCCATACAGAATATTAATAGTAAATCACAAATTATCATTTTCCTTTTTCTTTTATTTTGGGCTTGATAAAACAGTCCACTCAGGTCCTAGGTGAAGAATTTGTACAATAGGACTAAACCAGAGGTGGAATCAGAATTCCAAGAAGTTGATAGGAAGAGATATTATTTGTTGAGGAGGAGACAGATTAGGGCAGAGGCTGAGGCTTGGGAGAAGATGATGGAGGAGTATAGGGAGTTGGAGAGAGAGATGTGTGAGAAAAAATTGGCCCCCAATTTGCCTTATGTGAAGAAGTTGTTTTTTGGTTGGTTTGAGCCTTTGAGGGAGGCAATTGCTAAGGAACAGAGTACGCAGCGAACGAAGAAGCAAAAGGCAGCATTTGCACCGTATATCGATTCTTTGCCGGCTGATAAGATGGCAATTATTGTGATGCATAAGATGATGGCTTTGTTGATGACTGTGCAAGAGGACATGTCTGTTCGGGTTGTTCAAGCTGCGGTTTGGATTGGTGTGGCAATTGAGCAGGAGGTGAGTCTTGAATTGTTCTGTATATGATTATAAATTTGAATGGGGTAAGAAAACCAAACAGAAATATTTCATTTTCATGCAATAAGAAGTCAGCACTAGAAAATTGGTTACTTGCCTAGTATGCCAGCGATAAAACTTGTCCGTAAGTTTCCTTCCTATGACACAAATATCCTTCGCATTGAGCACAATGCACATATCCCCATCATCACGATTAGGTGCGTATGTTGGTTTATCCTTGCCATGAATCACAGTAGATATTTGAGATGCTAACCTCCCAAGGACCTATATGACAAGTGACATTTATTATTTAATCACGACTTAAAAGAAAATAAAGTTGGTAGCAAACATTTGTGCGTTCCACATAGATGGGACAGTTTGTATCACATATTTCCATCACCAAGTTTTTTGTCAAAACACTTGAATGATTCAACCCATCCTTCAAAATCTTTCCCTTGTAATTCGTTAAAATCTACAACAATTCTCTATTCTCAAATAATCATGTCTTCTATCCCAATTCACTTACAACCATTGGATCATATGAAAATTTTAAAATGTAAAAATCTCAAGACATATCGAGTGATTGTGAATGAATTGAAATAGGGAATAGAATTATTTGAGCACAGAGGATCCTTGCACCGTTAAAACACTATGCCCTGAGTGGGATGGTTATGAACCAAGAACTGGTCGTAAACGGGGACGAATAATTGTGGGCCTATAGCCCACTTATCAGGATCGTAAACGGATCGAATAATTATAGGCCTTTGGCCCACTTATCTGCAAGCCCGTAATTCGTTATCACACACCGAACTTCATCGAAGCAGATCTCGAGAGAGAGAGGGTTGATTGGAGATTCAAAAATGGCGAACTATCACTTCGTGTACAAGGACGTGGAAGGAGCTTCGACTCAATGGGACGATATTCAGAGAAAATTGGGAAACCTCCCTCCGAAGCCCCCTGCATTCAAGTCCCCATCTTTCACGCCCGCCGAGGACGAAGACTCTAAACACAAAGACAAAGCCTGGATCGATGATAGGACCGAAGAACAACTTGAAGATCTCGAGGACGATCCCGATCTCGACGACGATCGCTTCCTTCAAGAGTACAGGTATCATTTTCCGTCTTCAGATTCTCCTAATTATGCGCTTGGTTCCCAAGAATCCGAAGGAAACCCAATTAAAAAACCCAGCTGTTTTCACTCATACAGTTTAGTGGCTCAGTTAAATTTTCTTTTTGCTGCAATATGTATATTTGTTTTATACTTGCAATACTTGGCTAATGTATATTTGTTTTATACTTGCAATATGCAGATTGACTAAGGAGCATATGCAGGTGAGTTCAATATTGCTTTGTCCTTTTATTTATCAAAAATATATATATTGCTTTGTCCTTTTTATTCATTTTCTCTGCAATTGCTATTAGCATCAAGCCACTTTTTTGCTAGGCTGTGTGCAAGGTGGTGACCAAATCTTCTGAAGATGTCAAGCAGAGTATAAGAAGAGCTCGCCAGAAGGTATAGCTGCAAAAAAAAAAAAAGTTCTTTTTCTCCATTTGAACTATTTTCTGTTGCAAAGTGTTATTGTTCCTTGGGTAGAAAACCAAATAAGAGGAGAAGATTACAAAGAATGAAACCACTAAAGGCATTTTTTGCTTTTGGATGTCACAGATTATTGACATGCTCTGAGTGCCATTTTGGTTAATATGGTGGCTTAGTGGAAGAATCATGATTTCTCATGCACATTTGGTGATTTATCAATATATTTGGCTTAGTTTTACTGGAAAACTAGTGCATATTGCTGGTCTTAATTTGGAGCAGATATTTGTTTTTAATCTCTGTTATTTTTTATGATTAACATGAACACCCTATCAACAAACTAAACTGCTAAAAACTTTTACAAGCGCATACTACACACAGAAGAAGCTGCAACAATGGTTACAAATTTTATGTTATTTGCTTTATGAAATACTGTAGCATTGTTTAATAGTCTAGGCAAACTCCTTTTCCTTGTACAGGCATTGGATACGATGAAGAAAGCAGGTTCAAGTTTCCCAAAAGATGATGCCAAAAGATTGGAGAAAGAAGTGAGTTAAATAGTGGATAACTACTGAAGAAACACTTGACGGTTTTTTAAGGATTGTGCTCATACCTGATGCTTGTTCATTTCCCTAGGTTGATGAATTGACTAAGAAGTTTATCAAGTCGGCAGAGGATATGTGCAAGGCGAAGGAAAAGGAGATTGCTGCAGGCTGAGTGGTGGCTTGTCGGTATTCCAAATATCTCCGTTAGTACCGGTTTGTCTTCATTTTGAAGGCTTTTACACCTCGAGTTCCATAGTTGAGAATTTTTAAGTTCTCATCGTTGTTTGTAGACCTTAGAATAATGTAGTTAAACAATTTTAGGGATTAGAAACCACCATGAGCAAGGCAAGTCTATGTTCTGAGAATGACAAGAAGATTTAATGTGGGAAAAAGAACCGTCACAATTCCATCTTGACAATAGCTTTGACATGATAATGGGAATTCAGGGCCTCCTTATTCCGAGGTAACAATTGGAAGTGTATTCATTGCGTGTCTTGTGATGTTTGAAACTGAAAATGATAAATGGTTCAACCCTTTTGGTAAAGAACCAAATGTCATTAAACTAGGGGGAAAGAAATGATCTAGTTTGAATTCTACCCATTTCATTAAATCATATTGGGAGGCCTCATTATGACTAGCGGGACAATATCTTGGGTAAAAAGCATATCTCAAGTTTAGTTATTGATTTTGAGCAGACATCAATTATGCATCATTATTAGTTCTTGGATCAATTGTTTGTGTTCCAATTCTATTTTTCTTTGTTTATTTGCACGAACCCAAGTCCAACTCAAATTCATGTAGTTGATCTTGAGCAGTCAAGCTTTGGACAAGTCGGTTTCGATTAAAATTTGAACTTGGGCAGATCTCTCTGTTTTTTGGGGCTGGACTTGGAACAATTTGTTCCAGATTGCAGCCCTAACTAAAATTTCGGGTTTGCTGAAAAGCAACAATGGCACAGGGATAGCAACAACAACATTATCAAGTGAAGATGCTCGTACATTTCTTATTCTGGGCCTTTATCATTGCAATTTGCATGCATGAAAGCTCAAAATGAGCCTGGGTGGATAGGCAGAGTCGTCCTAACTCAGAGAGGCATGGTGTCCCATAAATTCTTTCGATTACTTTTATGTACCTGGTTGGTACAACTTTTAATAATCAAAAACAGAAATTAGAATAACTTCTCCCTCTATTTTCTCATAATTATTTTTTTAAACTTATTTAAATTATTTTTTATCTCATCTCAGCAAAAAGATGTACTAAATATTTCGGCACAAATTTTTAAAATAAAAAAGAAAAGTTATAAGCGTGTCTGTAAGTTTACATCGAACAAGAATAATCTTTCGTAATTCGAAATCTTTTTTTTTTTCCCTTCTTTCTTTCCCTCTTATATATGGACGAAGAGAGAGGAGAGAAGAAGAGAAATAGAAAGAGACAAAAGAAAGGAAGAGAGAGGAGGGAGGGGAAAGAGAGTGCACTCGTCTCTTCTTTGCTGATTGGCTCAATCGCCGCCGCCATCATCAAATCACAATCGTCAATCGTCGCCTCCGATGTCTGATTCTTCTCCACCGCCCGACCACAACCAATCTGGCCAACCACAGATCTGTTTTCTCTTCTCTCTTTCTCCGTCTGTTTCAGGATATAAGGGGGGGGAATTGTCCAAAATCTGTGTATGATGATGATGTGTTGTTGATGATGATGATGCCGGCAAGAAGGGAAAAAAAAATTGAGCTTGATTTCAGTTTGGTGATTGTGAAGAGAGGGAGAGGAGAAACAGATGAAAAAAAAAAAAAAAAAATTCCAAAACGACGTCATTTTGGATTCGAGTTATTTCGGGCCAAGCGTTTTTCGAGCTGCGTACACCAAACAATCCCTATGACTAAACCAAGAGACCAGCCTAGGCCAGTAGGAAAATCATAAGATTGTGTTTGGATCTCTTATAAGCAGAGCATCCTTATTAAGCTCACTAAACCATCTCCTTAGCTATTTCATAGCCCAGATCAATCAAAAGAGCACTTCATTAAACACGTCAATTGGTTAGTGTGGGGATATATTTTCTGAGTACCAACACGTGGCAAGGTGACGCCGACGTGTCAGCCGAGGTGCCACGTGTCCTGGTCGTAACGCCGAGGTGATCTCGACAAGGCCGAGGTTGTCTCCGAAGATATCGGAATCCGAGATAAAGCGAATAAAGGACAAGAGTCCTAAGACGAAGAGGGGACTTAACCAAGATAAGGATAAAGTTTTTAGGAAGTTTATCTTTATCTCTTAAAGAGTCCAGAGTAAGCACTAAATTGGAGTTCACAGAAGTCATACTTCTAGTAGGACTTGGATTGAGTATATTATAAAAGAGAGGCACCCCCGTGGGTCTAAGGTATGCAATTTATGTTTTAAGTGTTAAGTTTTGCACTTGATTATCTTGGAGAAATATACTGACTTGATCGTCGGAGTGCCCCCGGGTGGAAGAACCACCGCCGGAGCCTTTTCTTTCTGTTTCAGGTTGCTGAAGCCATCTATTTTGCCTGTGCTCTCCAGTTGATCACTAAGCAGGCAGTGTGGTCAGATTTTCACCCACACAATTTGGCGTCGTCTGTGGGAACGGGTTGTCAAAATTTGTACAGTGAAAACAGGATATAGTTCCAAGTACTTCGAGAAAAAGTACTTCCCCAAACATCTATGCAAGCTCGATTCCTAGTCTCCTTTTTTGGGGGATAAATATACTAGATTCCTAGTCATACCCTCTCTCCATTATATATGCTTCCCTCTACTTCTTACCAGAAACAGCTTCCCTTGTCACAAGCTGTATCCCCCTCACCCACATCTCCGCCGTCTCAAACCCACCCTCGCACACAAAATGCACTTCCTTGTTCTTCGTAGTCACCACCCGAAACACTCCAGCTTCATCCGCATCCCCCTTCCTCTGCCTCAGCCTCTTAAAATTCAAGCTCGGTCCCACCTCAATCTCTCGGCATATCACATTCCTCCGGCTTGAATTCCCCCACCTCAATACCCCGGTAGCCTCCATCATTTTAATAACTTTACTATGCGGAGCTCCTTTTCCTCCTTTTGTATGCTTCATCACGATAGCGCCACTCAACACCAGTTTCCGAGCAAGCTCGTCGAGTATCACCTGTACTGCATCATGACTGCCATTGTTCCTTGCAAGTGAGAGTGCAGTTTCGCCCTTAACATTCTTCAAGTCACATCGTGCTCCTGATTTAATCAAGAGCCGACTAGTGCTTCCATGGCCTTCCCTTGCTGCCAACATGAGTGGCGTGTAGCCATCCCCATCAGGGACATTTACATCATAACCCTTATGCATCAATAATCTCACTGCGTCTAAGTCTCCACGGCGGGCTGCACAATGTAGGGCGTAAAAACCTCCGCCATTGCGGTTACCCTTTTCAAGAGCGAATTCGAGCATTACTTTCTCAAATAGATCGCGATTTTGGTTGAATTCGGATAAGGTAATAGCAGTCTCACCAGATTTGTTGCACAGCTTAACATCAGCCCCAGCATATACAAGCAACCGGAAAGCTTCAACATGACCTTCCATAGCGGTAACCATGACTGCAGAGAAACCCCTATCATCCTGATAATCAAGATCGATTTCTGATCGCCCAATTAGGGCTTCCAAGGCTTGAATATCACCCAATCGAGCTACAAACATTAAAGGTGAAAAAATTGGCACGTTACTTGATTTCGGAACCTTTCCAGCCCTAATTACATCTAGCACGGCTTGTTGAAAACAAAGAGGCCATTGGTTCGACCCTGCGATTGAATACACAGACTGACCTGCTATATTCACCAAACCAAAATCAGCACCAGCTATGGCCAATACTTTGATACATTCATCCCTCTTATGTTTTGCAGAGATCATCAGAGCACTATCACCTGTATCTGTCCTCGAGTTCATATCACAGCCATAGTCAATTAGGCACTGGAGCACAGTTGAGTATCCAAGACGGGCAGCCATGTGTATTGGATGGAACTCAGTTTTCTGGGTTGTTTTAACAGGAGATTCTACATTTGCACCGCAATTCAAAAGCACGTTGACAGCTCCAGCATTGCCGCAGAGAATGGCATGGTGGAGGAGGTTTCTTCCAAGGTGAGTGGCATCGGATGAGACTTGTTGGAGGAGCATGCGCAGGATAGTACCAGTGTGCTCAAAATACTCCACAGCGCACCAGGTGATGGGGTAGGGCTCTGCTAGTCCTGCACCCACTCGAAACTCTTCGCCTGAAACTGTATCCCATGACCATGCCCCCAGTTGAACTTTGATGTCTGTTCTGGCACTAGCCTTGTTTTACCATTTTGGGAGAGGAGTGAAGAGAGGTTAGTCATAGGAGGGAAGAAAAGAACATTCTTTTATTTTATATATAAAATAAGAAGGATTTTAAATGTTGTCACTTTCTAAATCTTCTGAACTTTTGTAGAATTAACTGTAAAGTAAGTGCATCCATGTTTTTATATGAGATGATTTTTATACTACGCAATCAAAGTGCAAGGGTAAGGGGGTATTAATTGAAAAAATATCAAATCAAACCGAGTTTTGAAAAAATATTTACATATTAATGAAAAACTTTATACATATTAAAACATTAAAACTATCAACTTTTCCATAAATATTAAGTACTTTTTGAAAAGACCACTGACATGTAATATCCCTTTTTTCGTGGCAGACAACGAAAACCTCTCTCTAAAAACCTCTCTCTCTCTAAAAACCTCCTTCTCAGGCCTCACTTTGGGGCCAGCCGGCCGCCCGCCTTTGGCTATGGAGGTCGGCTGGCCCAGCTCTTTTATTGTGTTTGGCTGTAATAAACTTGATTCCCCCATTATTTTCCCACTGGTGATGTGCGGGCTGCCGTAGATTTGGCTTGGTCTTTGGGGTGTTTTGGTGAACGTTTTGGTTGTTTACTGGGTCGGCAAAGAGGACGATCCAGATCTGGTTAGGTTGTTCACTCGGGCGCTTCTTTGCAAGTGGAAGTTTGAGGGGTGTTCTCAGCTCAGATCTATGGAGGTGTACGCCGTCCAGTTGTGTCTATGGAAGATTTCATTCGAGCACTTCTATGCATATGGGAGTTAGAGGGGTGAATGCCGTCCAATTGTGCGGGTGTGTTTTCGGTGTTTCGGTTGTTTCGACCATAGGTGTCGAGAAGTGGAGATGGCAGTGTTTCGACCATGGGAGTGTATGGGTGTGTTCGGATGCTTTGAGTGCTCGATCGATTCAGCAGCTTAGGTTGTAGCAGGTTTGCTTGGAGATGTCGTGGCTGGGCTAGGCTGGGTGAAGTCGTGGCTGGGCATTGGGAGTGATTGCAGCAGGTTTGCATAGGTGAGGACGTGGCTGGGCTTTGGGAGTGTAGCAGCATGTGGGTTTTGGCTGGGCATTGGGAGTTTAGCAGCTTGGAGATGTCAGGTAAGGGAGTTTTTCAGCCATGGAGTTGTTGGCTATGGAGCTTTCCGGCCGGTGAATATTCTCGGTAGGTGTAAACAGGTGGAAAGCACAGGTTTGGGCGTGTAGCACAGGTGGGTGCTGGGTGTTGTCAGGCGTGGGTGTGTAGTAGGTAGGCGTTGGGAGTTGAGGCAGCACAGGTGGAAAGCTTTAGTTTGAAAAATAGCAAGTGGGCGGGAAAGCTTTGGTGTTTGGTGTTGGGTTTTGATTTGGCTTGGTTTTTTGTGGACAG